CCGAGAAATTTTTCTAGCTCAAGGGCCAACCCTTCCAATATTGCAGAAGATTATATGTTTGAGCAATAAGATTAAGGTATAATGGCGCTTCTTGTATCACTTTCACTTTATTTCTTGTTGACAGAAGTAGGATAGTTTAGTCTTATTTTGGGCAATTGAGTTTCAGAAAATGAACGATTTGTGTTCAGTTTATTTGTTAGTATAGGTAATTGCTCTGTTTGGTATCAAGTTCTGTAAAATTTAGAGTCTTCTCTTTGTTTTTGTTTTTTTTATTGGTTTCGGGATTAATGTTGATGCTTTATGTTATAGGATTTGAAGAGAGATCACTCAAGTCTTCAGATCAAGTGAAGAACATGAATACTGATTGTTTTCCTGGCCCTGGTGTTTTAGACAATCTTCATAATCTCAGTGAGTATCAGATACTGATTTTGGCAATTGTTTCTCGCCTTTTTATCTTTCTTTTGTTTTAGTGATTTTAATTGCTATTTTTGGTATTAGGTAATGAATATGAGCTTTTAAAAAAGAAATACATAGATGAGTCCTCTGAACGAAAGTGGCTTTATAATGAAGTGATTGAGCTGAAAGGCAATATTAGGGTCTTCTGCCGATGTAGACCTTTAAATCAAGCTGAAATTACTAATGGGTCCAGTTCTGTTGTTGAATTTGACTCTTCTCAAGAAAATGAGCTACAAATTGTTTCTTCTGATTCTTCTAACAAGCAATTCAAGTTTGATTTTGTGTTTAAGCCCGAGGACAATCAAGGTAATCCCTGATCTCATGAATGATTTTTACAATGCAAAGCAATTGCTATAATGGATATTGAACTATTTAAATATTTAATCCTGGGTTTCTAATATATGCAGAGGCTGTTTTTGCACAAACTAAACCTATTGTGACTTCAGTACTCGATGGCTATAATGTCTGCATATTTGCATATGGACAAACTGGAACTGGGAAGACATTTACAATGGAGGGTACACTTGAAAATAGAGGAGTGAACTACAGGACTTTAGAGGAGTTGTTTCATATTTCCAAAGACAGAACTGGTGTCATGAGATATGAGCTTTTTGTTAGCATGTTGGAGGTTTACAATGAGAAGATAAGGGACCTTTTAGTTGAAAACTCTAACCAACCTTCTAAGTAGGGCTGTGTAAAAAAAATCGATAACCGAACCGAACACGGTAACCGAACTGAACTGAACCCAAAAATTCGGGTCGATTTCGGGTAATTTTTATAAGATACCCGAATTTTTGGTTCGGGTATTGGTTATTTAATTTTAGAAAACTGGGTACCCGGTTTTATTAAAAAAAAAAAAAAACACGCAGACTTTCAATTTTCAAAGGCAAAACGCAAAACCGCAAAAGCCAAAAGCCCAAAATCTGAAACAAATCTGAAATCCCTTATGCCCTAAAACTAAAACTCGTCACTGCGTCAACTTCAAGTACTCAAGTTCTGCAGGACCTGCACACAGGCGCACAGCCGCACTCAAACTCATCTCTCTCACTCTCAAATTCAGATTCTCGCCTTCTCCAGTCTCAGTCTGCATCTGCACCGCACAGCCGTACTCAATACTCATCTTTCTCACTTTCAAATTCTCCAATCTCAGTCTGCATCTGCACCGCACAACCACACTCATCTCTCTCACTCTCAAATTCTCCAGTCTGCATCTGCAATCTTCACTCTCCACTAAAGTCTAAAAATTCTCCACTAATCCACTGAAATTTTCTTCTTGAGACTGCAAATTATTGGGCTTCACTTTGCTCTAGCTCTATCACCTTTCTGCACTACCATCGTCGGCGCCGTAAAAACTGAAAACACTTTTTAATAAATGTTTTCATGTGTTACAGGGTTTTGGGTCATCAACTCTATTATTATCTCTCTTCCATTATGTGTGTTGTTTGAAATTAAAATAGAAATAGAAATAGGGTTGGTTAATGTGACCCATGCAATATGTTAGGTGATTTCACATTCTCCATTGCTGAGAGAAGCACACGCAAGTCATGTGAAAGTGCTTTTGGAGAAGGTGATAGTGGAGGTTTCCCATGCTTTTTCTTTAAATTTTTCCACCAACTGTTGCTTTTCTTTTCTATTCAAATGCCTTCAATCAATTCATTCAATAAAAACGAAAGCATGAAAGAAAGAAAAAATCAAATTCTTGAATGAATGAATAGTATGAGTAAACAAAATTGCTTTTTTTCACAAATGAATTTCAAAGTTGGTGCAGTCTGCTGTGTAATACTGTAATTTTAAATTTTTAATCAAATTCGGGTCACAAATCGGATACCCGATTTGTGACCCGAATTTTCGGGTACCCGCAAAACCGGGTATTTTAAAATCGGATCGGTTAGCGGGTACCTTTTTAGAGGTACCCGAATATTCGGGTACCCGGTTTTCGGTTAAAATCGGAGCGGGTACCCGGTTTTGCATAGCCCTACTTCTAAGAATGTTTTTTCTTGAATATTGGATTATGTATTAGTTTATTTTAGTTGGTATTTATAGTTTATTGACTTGTTTTGTTTGTTTATGTGTAATTGTGTATTAATGATTATGTATTTGTTTATTTTGGTTGGTATTTGTAATTTTGTATTATATGTTATTGTTTGTTTATTTGTTATTTGTTTATTTTGGTTCCTATTTGTTTATATTCTAAATTGAATTGCATTTAGAGTAGTTGATTTAGGGGGTGTAAATGTAAAAAATTAAAATTGTAGGAATTTTGGGGGTGTAACTGTCATAATTGAAAATTATTGGGGGTGAAATTGAAAATTAAAATATGGAGAGAGAAAAAACGGGTACCCGCGGGTCCACCCGTACCAGTATAGGGTAGGGTAGGGTACGGGTCCAATATTTTGGACTTGTATACATCGACCCCTATTGGGCCTGTACCCGTTTGGACCCTACCCGTACCCGGCCCACCCGCCCGTTTTGCCAGGTCTAAATTGGTAGGAGGTGTAAGTGATTAATTATAAGGGAAAATTTAGACCATTTATAACCATTATCAGATTACGTTTCAATCAATCTTTGAGTTATTGTCTAAGGAGTTGTATAACTGATGGTAACATTACCTAGATACTAGATACTGTAGGTGAATAGAGATGACAATGGGCCGGGCCGGGCTGGGACTGGGTACCCCTTGGCCAGGGCCCAAGCCCGACCTCATGACAAAGGCCTAGTCCTAGCTCGGGCCCGTCACGGGGATGACAGGTAAAGCCCAAACCCAACTTGACAGGTCTTTTGTAATCTCAGGTCCTACCCAAGCCCATCCATTTTTATAATGTGAATTTTTAAATATTAATAAATTTCAATTTTTTATATATTTTTAATTCTAGAGACAGTTTTTAAATATTAATTTATTTTTGAATGCTCACCACATATTAATAAATTTCAATTTTTTTGATATATATGTAGGATAATTCTATAATTAGATATATAATATAAGGATAATTTAGTAAAATTAATAGTAAAATTGTTAGGCCGGGCCGGGCTGGGTCGGGACTGAAGACATACCCATGTCTGCCCCGTACCCGAGGGTGGGCCTTAAAGTCAATCCCAAGCCCAAGCTTCCTAACAACGGGTAAAACCTGACCTTTTCGAATCGGGCCGGGCCGGGTACTCAGAAATACCAAGGCGAATGCTTAATTATTTTGAGAGCTAGATTTGGATTGGTTATTGGGCCAAGAAAATGGGCTTACTCTAAAGGAAATCGATTGGGGTTCGCTGAGAATAAGATTAATTGAGCTAGGAAGAAACCCAAAAGAACTAAAACAAACCCAATTATAACCCATTTGATCTAGGCAAACTAAATAAACCCAAGTGATGGTGACAACTGCTCTTTGAGTCGTGTTCCGGCATAAAACTTGAAATTGAACACAGATGCAGACCGAAAAAGAAACAAATCAATTTCCAAATCAACGAAAAAGCAACAACTCAATTTCTAAATCAATCCAAGTGGAATAAGACTGGTTTAATTTGAAGTAGAAACTTAAATGTGAAGTGGATATAGATTCGATTTATCAAAACACACATTTATAATTCATTAATAAAACTGAAAATAGTTGAGTTCTACATGGGTATAAATTCAAAACCCCATACATTTATCATTTAAATTTTTAGCTTCTCGATTGATTGTATGTTCCCTACTCAGAATTCTCGAAGATCAATTAGGAAATTCTTTAGTCTTCAGTTGTATATCTTTTGTGGTGGCTTATGAACATATGGATACACCATTGATAACTATTTAAGAGCAATAATATTATACATATTGTGAATATGGAAAAGTCAACTGGTAAGAATGAATAAGAGGATTTGATTTCTCTCTCTCATTAATTTTCGTGGATTAATCTCTGACACTAAAAGTTTTCAGGTTTCTTGTTTAGGAAGAATTGGTGGAATGTGCAAGAAATTAATAGAAAGTAGGGAGAATAATTAATATCGTATAGGATTTCAGGAATTAATGAATATGTGATGGCTTAGAGGTGAGAATCTATGTTACTGTATACAAGAGCTTCTGGAGACAAAAATGAGAAAAAGGTGGTCGCCTTTAGTCACTAGCTTCTGTAATCTGTCACACATGGAGCCTCCTCATAATGTATCCTTACAAAATTTTAGTTACAATGAACTGGGTGTGAGAACCATCTTCTTAGCTTCAAAAATTCTACCATGAAGCTAAGAGTGCTTTGCATTTGCAGCACATTGCCGTCCGTCTTTGGAGCATTTTTCTGACGAAATGAACTTCATGTTCTTCTATTTAATTATTGTCCATCTTCTACCTTTCTATGTTCAGCAATTTTTGGTCGTTGCTGGCATATAAACTCTTGGAAAGGCAGGAGCATCAACTATGGAGATTATGACCCTAATTAGCAGAACCACAGGCCGCGCATTGATGACCAAATAGCTTTGTGCATACAAATAGCACTGCTATATATGCAAACAATGTCATCCACAATTAAAACCAGAAATGAGACGTAACCGAGATCTGGCAATCTATACAAAGCCAGGTTTTAGATACAGATGGAGCTCGCTGGCCCGAAACATTGTTGTTGACTACTGCTGGAACATCTGCCGGGAATCTCCTTTGATTTTTCCTTCATGAGATGAGGCTTAAGCTTGCTTACATCTGATAATTGAACTGGCTTCAAAAAGAATTCTTCAGCTCCTTCCTCCAAACATCTGTTAATTCTTGAAGGAATATTTTCTGATGACATCATCACAACTGGAATGTCTTTTAATGATGTAGAATTCTTGATTTTTCTGAGAAGATCATAGCCGGTCATTCCTGGCATACTGTAATCTGTAATAATCAAACTGACAGAAGCAAATTCTGAATTTCTCTCATCATCTTCTTCATTCAACAACCCCAAGAATTCCAAGGCCTTACTCACAGAGTCCACAGCAGTAACTGTTGAAAACAAAAACATACAAAAAGTTGGATTAATTTCAACACAAGACTCCCTGGAAAATCAAGCAAATAAAAAAAGAAAAAGAAATTAAAGAACCAAATTGTTACCTTGATAAGAAGAAGTTTTAAGGAGTTTTTCAATCAACTTTCTGTCAATAACGCTGTCATCAACAGCAAGAACATGAAACTGAGGTTGAGCATCACCAGCAGCCACACCCATGATTGAAAATTGGATAGATATAGTATTGAAAATATTTCTTTTATAAAATAAAGGTAGAAGAGGCAGAAGATGTTAAGAGATGAAGATGATGATGATGATGATGATGAAATTGAAGAAAAGGGCAATTGGGCTTTAAATAGAAGGCGATTGAGAGGCAAATCTTTAGGATATCTGTATAGTTTAGGAAAGCAAGATTCTGCAGATTTCATCAACAATCTTGAGGATCTTCTATATTGATTTTTTAATTATTTGACAAAGCAAAGAAGGTGTTATGTTTGTTTCCAATTAAATATATTGTTCGACTTTTTCTTTCTTAATTAATATTCCATTTGACCCTTTGTTAAGTGCTTGAGGCAAATATTTAATCTTTTAATTGGCTTCTTCATTCAACTTAAGAAGGCTACTCTCATTCTCATGCACGTGTATCACCATTTTTCCAACTCCATTATTGCACATAACAGTTGGTCGCACATTTCGCCTTTATTTATAGGAGAAAATCTTTTTTTTTTTTTTGGTAAGTATTCATAAGAAAAGGAAAGAATTTACAAAAGGCCATATTAAAAAGGTTCAACATACCATAGGACAAGCCCTAGGTTAGGCTCAAAAGAATCAAGTAATCACTAAGACTACTAACAAAAAACTAAACTAGGCACCTAAAGCTAAAAGCAAAACAAAGCACCAACACAAAACCAAACAATGAAAGCACACCTTAACCAAGGCTGCCCAGTAACAGTCACTCCTCTTGTTTTACAATCTTAGGACATGCCCTTAGTTAGAAACAATGCTTAGCAAAACAAAAGAAGACACAAGAAAACTCAAAAGAAGAACCCAAACCAACTTAATCTTCATCCAAGGCATCGATCGACCAGAGCGGGAACAAAGGAAGAGGACTTGAAGCAACCCTAGGGAGGCTCCATGAGTCCGCCAGTCCTATTAGTAAAGGAGGCCTTGAAGTTTTTAAAGTCCATAGCTCTTTCTCTCACAATGCATTTGATCGAATCAATAATAGAACAGATATCCTTACACTCTCCCCCAAACATCCAACTATTTCTCTCCCTCCAAACCCAATACACCGTAGCTCCTAAACAAAGCTTAGCAATAGCATAATTGAGCTTTTTTCCTTTCCATCTTCTAGCAAGATATAAAGTAGACCTGGTCAATCCCAAGCGGGCCTAGGCTTGGGGTTGGGCCTGTTTGGGACTGGTCCCATTTGGGATTAGTCGTTCATTCGCTTGGGATCAGTCCCAGGCCCATGAGCAATTTTAGGACACGGACCAGTCCTATGGGCCTAAGACCGGTCCTATGGGCCTGCAAAATTTCTTTTTCCCCCCTTATCTTTTTTTTTTTATATATATATTTTAGGGGCGAAATGAAATTCTGTAGGGGGTTTTAGTAATTTTTAGGGGTAGATTAGTAAGTTTTTAAAAGTTTAATTAATTTAAAAAAAATAATAAATTAATAGTTAATTTTAACATAAATGTAATATTCACACAATCACGCTTCACAAATAAATAATTAAATTATTAAATTATTTATCTTCATCTTCAACAATATTTAAATCACTACAATCTGTGTTCCCAAAGAGTTCGAGTAGTTCGGGATCTTCAGGGTGCTGTTATAGTCTTCTCTCTACATGAGTCCAATCTTGTAAACACGTTATCACTTCAATCATCTCATTGGTTAAAGAGCATCTTCTGTCTTCAACAATCCGGCCACTCGTTGAAAATGATGACTCGGATGCAATTGTAAAAACCAGCACAGATAAAATGTCATGTGCCATTTGGGCTACAATGGGGAATCGACTTTCATGTTGGTTCCACCATTGAAGCAAATCCATCTCACGTTTCTCCTTCATCGTCATGTAGGACAAGTCCATGTAGCAATTCAACTCATTTGGTCCATGTATGTACGAGCTGAAACTGCTACTTCTGCCATGTTCCATATACGTCCACTTGCTCGATCCTTGATGGAGGTCTGCATCAGGGTCCTGATCGTCTCTTCTGAACGTTCCACTTCCACTTCCATTGTACCTATTTTGATATAAAGAAAAAAGGCTTTCCAATTTTTGCTTAAAGTCGGTTAAATAAGACGTATAATCATGTCCTAAATGTTGGTATATCTCAGTAATTATACAGTTAACTACATGTAATTTAAACTTAGGATCTACAACAAGGCCTAATCCATATAAGAATGGAATATCTAACCAATATTTCTCATATTTTTCTTCCATCTTTGAAACAATTTCCATTAAAAAGTCATTATATCTATATTTAGCAAAAGTTTTAGAAATTTGAAGCAAAATATCTAACGCAAAATTAATAGTCGGATAATAAATACCACTTAATGTATTAGTAGAATCATAAAATTTTTTAAGAAATGAATAAAAAAGTTCACAAACTGCCCAATCATCATAGCTGACAACTTCCTCTGGATAGTTCTTCCGGTTGACAAAATCTGTAATTTGTCTTGCAGTTGGCAAAATTTTTTCCAACATTAAGTAGGTGGAGTTCCAATAGAGAGGCATGTCCGTACATAACTTCAAACGGCAAACCGGTGGGTCCTTTTGCCTACAATATTTGACATACTCCTGCCATCTTTTATTGCTACCGCTGATGATAAATCTAATAGCCACGTGCACCCTTTCCATCTTCGAATGTATAGCATCTAAACCTGCTTTAACAATCAAATTGATGATGTGGCAAGCACATATCTGGTGAAAAAATTTGCCTTCACCACGCATATCCAATCTCTTTTCAAATAAAGAGATTGTCGCAGTGTTAGCAGCTGCATTATCAAGCGTTAGCACTACAACTCTATCAGTTAATAGATATTCTTGCAAAACTTCAAGAATTGTAAAATAAATAGTGTCAGCACTATGTTTTTCATATAATGGTTTAAAACCCATCAATTTTTGTTGTAAACGCCAATTATGATATAAGAAATGTATTGTGACAGTTAAAAAATCTGTTTTTGATCTATAAGCCCATATGTCTGATGTAAGTGCAATAAATATATTCCTAAAATTTTGAAATTTGTTTTTAAGTTTATTATTTATTTTGTTATAAAGTTTTAGTATATCTCTTCTACTTGTACTTCTACTAACAGGGGTGTGTGCTGGACAAAATGCAGTTTTAATCATGTGAATAAAATAAGGATTTTCAGATAAACAAATGGGAGAGTCCGTAGCAATTATGAATCTTGCTATTTTCTCTCGTGCAACATATGCATTGTATTGCCATGTTGAGAGAGTTGAGGATTGTGGATTAAAATTAAATTGAGTTTGAATTTGCCGACCTGATCCAATTGAAGATGTACTGGACAGCTACATTATTTGGGGGTTGATGCAACTAAATCAACCTTAGCAAGTGCACTAGTCGTGTTCAAGTAATAAAGTGATGAGTTGAGTATCGTCCCACAAAGATCAAAACAATTATTTGTAATTACCTAAAACTACCTACACGTTATTTGAGAAAACAAAATTTTAGAGTGTAAAAGTAATGGATTAAAAATAACTAAATTAAACAAATGAATAATGTGAAGAACTTTGCAATATTAATGAAGTTAGGGTATAGATTTCCCCCTAATTATGCTTAACAACTACTTTTAATACTCGTTTGTGCTATGAATTGGTAGGATTCTTCTAAGGCCAATTATCCTTATTCAGGCATAATATTCAACTTAATACAGATCCCTATTTGGTTACTCTGAAATTAAGAAGCATAAATTNTGCTCCCACAAATCCAAGATTTTCGGTTGCTTCAACTTGTTAACGTTAGGGAACTTAGTGCTTTGCTACCAGTCCTCGTGGGAACGATATCCTACCCATCACTCTATTACTTGAGCGACTAGTGCACTTGCTAGTTTTGCATGTTGTAGAAAACACGCATCAGTTACTCTGAAATTAAGAAGCATAAATTCATCAATCCCTTACGACTAATTTGTCCTATTCGGTTATGAATTAGATGGACCACAAATTAATCCTAAAATCTCTATTCGATTAATTCTAGTTTTAATATCGTATGCAATGTTATTCCCATAAAACAATTATAAATATGAATTAAGCAATAAACCCTAACTTCTCTATTGGAAGCATCATCAAGGTAATTGAATCAATCCAACATTCATAAAGCATTAAACCTAAACTCTTGCACAAATTCATAAACATAAATCTGGTATTAAGAATAAAAATGGTTTAAAACATAATCAGGGTTCCATCCTCCCCTAGCAAAAGGGATTTACTCCATCCTAAGAACAAAGGAATAAATAGAGAAGAAAGAAAAACATATTCAGACTTGAAAAGAAACAAAAATCAAAATCTTAAATTTGATCTTCAGTCTTCAAGCCCTAAGAATGTGTCTTCTCCTCTCAAAAATATGCAAAATTCATCGCTTGACAACTAATGTCAATTTTACGTAAATACCCAAAAGAGTCCTAAGTGAAAAAGGAAAGAAAAACTGATAAAAACGCCCTAATAGTTTCTGTTAAAACCCTGGCTGTGGTCAAATTTAAGTCACCATAGCCTAGGCCGTGGTGCTTTCTAGTCTCTTTGTTTTATCTTTGTTCCACCACCATGGCCATGGTGAACTACCAAGGCATGGCCGTGGCCTTCAAGAATGTTAGGTAATCTCAACTTCTTCAAGCTTTAAGTTCCAATTTTATTCCAATACTCCAATCTATTCAATCAAAGCCTGAAAAACACAAAAGTTATCCAAATCAATAGGTAACCATTCATATCTCAAACTTAACAAAAATAAACATCAAAACAACAGAAACAAATGAGAAGTTAACTAAACTAACATCAAAACAACCCTAAAAATACTCAAATTATGCATCTTATCAACTCCCCCCAACTTAATCCTTTGCTCGTCCCCCGAGTAAAGAAAATATCAGAAAAACAAACTCAACAATCATCAAGGATTCACAGCATTTCCAAAATCAAGGAAACAAGGCAAACATGCTTTAAATAATTCTCATGCATCCAAATATACAACCCAGCTAATTGTGCAACTCTAATCTTTCCCCAACCTAGTCATGCCTTACCAAGACTTTATACTTAACCCCCTACTTATTTTTCTCTTTTTTTTTTTTCATAAGCTTCTTTAGATTGTCACATCACCTTTTTACACAAATGCACACATTTGTGATGAATGCCCCTGGTTACTCAACAATGTCACAACACATAAAGTGCTTTGCATACTCATAATTCAAGCTAAGGTTTGACGCAAAAGTAAACACGG